CCGTTCTTGGATAGAAATTTAATGATTCTACGCAAAACATTTGTCATCATAGCATTAAGATACGTGTTTTTTTTATCATTTTAGAAATTTTTAATAATATTAACAATTTTTGTTCAAAATTCGTATTTTACTATAGATCGCGATCGTTACACAAAACATACATTCGATTTTTATACGGGACTATACATATACTGTATTTGATCTAAACATACGTCCGTACTACGTATTTCACGGGGCAAAGGTAGCAGTCTTTTTCGATTTTAACCTTGTTTAGTTTATCGGAGATGCGTCGAGTATAACCTAGGTTAGCATAAGGAGAGTATCTCCTGCGTCGTGAATACAAAGTAAAATTCCCTATTATATAATATAATAGAAAATTCTATTTTGTATTCGCAACGCAGGAAGATGCTCTCCTTATGCAAACCTAGGTTATACTCGACGCACTAAACAAGATAGGACAGCTGTTAAAAATTGGAAAAACCTTTACTATAAGAAGCAGTGTTGAGCAATTGAAGCCAAATTTGTTTAACTGGGCTTATAAACTGGAATATTGGACTTACATATTCCAATTTGAATTATTTGAACTTATCAATTACAAGGATTATGAAGTTGCACAACATTGGTGAGGAATCTACTCCGCAACTTCTAGGCCTAAAAATTATCGACAACAGCGACTGCCACGAAGAATTGGGCGATCTATCTCAGTAGGACCATTAAAGGTTGGAGTATCTCATATCGGTTTCTCACAAACATAGTAAAGCTATATAGTAAAGATCACGCTTCAACTTTTTTTTTAGTGATTTTTCCGATTCTCACTATTTTCTCTCTGCTATTAATTAAAGTAAGATTTTATTTATAACTTAAGATTTAAAAAATTTGTTAAAAAGTAAACCAAAATCCATTTTTAAAGAAAAGTTATAGATTTTTAATATTTTTAATACATAAAAAAAAATTTTTTTTTAACTTAATAATATGCAAAAATACATTTCCTGATGGATCATCGGTACTGTTCTTGATGGGATGAAAAAAAAATCGATTCAGGTACCGTTCTTGATAGAGTTCTAAAAACTAAACTACTGTCGAAATATAAGGCTAATGTAAAAAATTTGGCAGTCCACTATTACTGCCCAACAAGATTATAAGATCAACGCGTAACATAAAATTCAAAAAAAAAAAAAAAAAAAAGACGGAAATTATTATTCAATCATTTAATAAAGTTTTTCAACCCAAATGTTCTTATTGAATTCACGCGAAAAACGCCATGGGCATTATTTAAGACACGTAATTCAAAGAGAGCTAATAATTAATTTAGCCATAATTTTAATGTTAATAATTCTTTCACTAAATTAATTATTAGCTTGTCTCGAATAACGCCTATGGAAGTTTTTCGCGTAGATACGGTACTGTATTATTTCAAGACCAATGTTTAGGCAAGTTGAAATCAACGTTGTGAATTAATCATGGGTTATGACTTAGCATTCGCATTATAACTAAGCATCTTCATGAGAATTAACTTCGGAGTTCCTTTAAGAACCCCATCAGGAACGGTACGAGGCACGTAAATCGATTTTTTTTTCATCCCATCAGGAACAGTATCGATGATCCATCAGGAACGGTAGTTTTGCTAATAATATTACTAATTTATATATTTTATAATCTTTGTTTTTAAATATTAATATATAATTTTTTTATATATGGGACGAGTCACCAAATCTTTTTTAATAAATTTTTTTAAATCTTTAAACAAACATAATCATATTTAGTAAAAAAAAATTTTTTAATGAATTTTCTATAAGTTTTTAGAATTATTTTTAAAAATAATTTTATTAAATTTGACTACCATATTTTTGCGGAATAACGCGTAAGTTGTAATTTAGAATCTTGGCCTTAATTCGGGCCAAAATTCGAAATAACGCTCATGTGCGTTATTCCGCGAAATACGGTAAGTTATTTTAGCTTAAAGGTTTAAAAAATTTAGATAGAAAAAATTTGGTGCGTTTCTACTGACTCATTCCATATTTTAATCTTTGATAAAATATAAAATTTTAAATTTAGTAGCCAAATTTGTTTGCTAATATTAATAGTTTAAAAAATAATAAATTTAAATTTAAAATATGAATTCAAGAAAAAAATTGTAAATATTTATACTACTTATTGAAATTATTTTTTATAATTAGGTTACTCCTAATTAAGTAACCGAACTACAATTCCGAGTAATATAATCAATTCTGGCTCTAACTTAATTATTGTAACAATCGTTGGCGGCGTTGTATTTTAACAATATTTATTGTCTCTATTTTATTAACTCTAAGATTTATTGATCAGAAATCGGTTGCTTTTTGCTTTAAAACTGATTTGTAACAAACTTAACAGAGTGCACAAAAGATAATACGCGTAATAAATACGTGTTTAGTCTATACAAAAAAAAAAACTTGATTTTTCATAACATTAATATTCTAGAACAGGGATTACCACCCGGCTTTTTTTAATTTTGAATACATAAAATTTTTTTTAAAATATCCACTCGATTATAAAATTTATAAAAAATTTAACCCAGAGGGTTATGAAAAGCAAAAATACTTGTTTATACGGCCTTATTTAATAAATGGATAATTTTATCTTATTTTGAATTAAAATAAATAAATAAATAAAATAAAAAGTAAAAAATAAATAAACTAGAATAAATTAAAATAAATATCGTTTGCTTTTTAAAAAAGAAAACTAATTATACGCGGTTTAAGACTAAAACTATGGAGAGTATACAATAACATATTAGTTACTATATATATTAAAGACAATTAGGATAAAGAAAAGCTATTAAGGTTCAAAAACTATAGTAAATTATATTTAATAAATAATTTAAAGTTTTATAAGATTTTACCAAGTAACCTCTCTTATATTTCTAACCATATATATAGATTTTTTTCTGATTTTAATAGTGATTAACCCATCAAAATCGGTTGAGATAATGACTGTAAAATTTAATATTTAATTTAGTAATCACTTAATTTATCATAATAATCCCTATAAAAAAAAAAAAATTAAAAACCATATTCAGATTATTTTTAAAAATGAACATTTTTCGTAATAAAAACCCAAATGAACCCTTTTTAAATTCCTAATTATTTCTAAATTTCCTGAATATTTTCGATTTCCTGGTTATAATTTTATACAAAAAAAATAAAATTATAGCCAGGAAACAGAAATATTCGGGAATTTAAAAAGGTTTCATTTAGGTTTTTATTTATTTATTTTTTTTTTATAGGGAATCACCAAACAATTTCGCCCACAAAATGACAAAAATAGAGAAAAATTTAGTAATTTATAAATTTTTGTTCTATATTTAATCAATTATACAGTATATACATAGAAAACAAAAATCTGAAGTAGGTCAGTGCCAGATTTTCAACGAATATACATACACCTAATTTTATTTCTAATTTCACCTAAACTATTTTTATCTTATCGGTATAGAAAGTGTAATACATAAACACTAATACTGTACATTGATTTGTAAAGTTTATTATCGTTTACTATCCGGCTTATGCCGTAACATCATTGGGATGATTCTACTGTATCACTAATTCCCGCTAAAAGCACCAAAAAGCCAAGCAATGCCAAGTTTTCTGAACTATTTTTATCACAGCCCCACAAAATCCGGGCATTTATCTTGATGTTAATATCAGATATGGGACCCCCACAGCAAAAAGAGGGGCTGGGTCAAAAAATTAGAAAATTTATTCTTATGATAATTTTATTCTAATTAATCTAATTTT